ATGACAGGATTGAATCAGGTCTATCACCACCATGAATGAACAGACAGTTTGAATTCCAAAACCTCACCTCAAATAAAGATTCAACAATGAATACCATTAAAAGCTTAGCACCCCCAATGAGGCTGCTCATCTGGCAGGAGTTTTAATGCTGTTTATCACTTATCTATGCATCACCATTCATCATGATTCATCCAATAATTCAAGTACTTATTTTCACTCTTGACATCCATTCAAAATGCTGCCTAATGTTATGAACAATAATAAATATTAACAATAAGAATCCCAATCAATCTATGATATCAATAATGAAAATAAACACAAATTTCTAGTGCTAAACACACTCATCTCTAGAAGGCATTGAAACCAACAACACCATTTTCAGACAGATCATTCTTTGCACTAGTTAACACGCAGAACAATTAGTGTGGAATATCAGTTTAATTCTGAACATGTTTTTGAAACTGCCTTTGTTAAAAAATAAGCAAATGAATATCCCTCAGCAAGCAAAACTTGTAACTAATATACATTAAACAAACAGAAATCTAAATGTATCCCTTTTATTCAAAAGCCTTAAAAAATCATGAACACTTAATAAACTGCATAAAATATGAAAGAATTATAGAAAACCTATTTATTAACTTTATCAGATATCAGACAGATTATTCATTGTTTGTATTGTAACTACACTTGTTGTGTTAGTGCACAGATGAATGATCTTTTGTAATAATCGTTTGTGCCACAAAACTTACAATTTTTTTCATACTAATATTAAGACAAGTTTATACAAATCAATGGACTTCTGAAATGTATTTTCATTGAAACATCAAAATGTCTACAGAACATCCAAGTGACCATTCCTGATCTTTTGTGAGAAGAGAGGAATTATGTACCTAAATTATACCTAATGCAGCCCTTTGCTCAATGCACAAGCTATAACAGTTCAGAAACGAGTGAACAGCTCCAGTAAAGACTGTGATTTTTTTATCTCATCAACAACACACCAAGTCACAAATCTTAAAGCTATAACCAAAGTCTGGTATTTATGATGCATCATAAGGAATGATAAACGACCTTTCAGGGGTTGAGAAATGGCTCAGATCAGCCTTCTGGATACAAGAATTGAAAAGAAAATAGTCACTGCTATAAAATTTACCTTTCGATTGGTCCTTGATTTCTGCTGCATGATACAATGACAAGAAGTATTACAGCATTACTTAGCAAATTTTATAACTGCTAATAACACACATGTAATATAACATAACATACAGAACGTTATCCTATACATCATGACCATTGAGGCTAGTACAAGGGCAGTCTCCCTCTGCCTCGAGAGACTCAAATTGTACATGTAAAAATCTGCAATATTCAACACAGATCCTCCTGCATCTTTTCACTAAGATCATTGCATTTATATGGGAATGAACTGCAGGAAATAATCAGTCATCTATTAAAATATAATAAACTAAAATAGTACACTTTTGTTCAGATCCACTTGCTGACACTGCAAGCCATTGAAGTATGTCTAACATTAAATATCCATGATGCTACCAGTCAAAATGATAAACTTTACTGATCATGTATTGTAGTAAAACCCTTTTCTGAAACATCTCATGGAGACAGTTTAGCCCCCTTTCCCTTTATAATATCATTTTATTTCTATCACTATCCTAATATGGCTGCATTATACTCTGATCACCTGCAGATAACACATTGGCAGAACAACCTTTTACGCAACCAGCATTAATAGCAATGACACAGCCAGGTGAGCCAGGTGGTGCATGGGAAGCCCCAGAGTGTCTGCCCAGGTGGAGGCAGTCTTAAGTAGCACCTCTATTACACCAGCTGCGGCGGCATTGGTGGTAGTCATCCTGGTGGTAGTGCTGGTAGTGGTCATGGCTGGCTGTAGTGATGATGCTGGCGTTACACCCATCCCCTGACATCCTGGCCAAGGGGCGGGGAGGAGCTGTCAGCAGGTGGGCCACTTCTCTCTCTCTCGTCAGCTTCCCAGTGCATTATCTGGTTTGTTTAACATTGAATCATTTCAGCTCTCGTGGGGCGGCGCAGCGAGGTTAAGACCCCGAGGGCTGCTCCTCGCCCCCCTCCGCCCCTCCGTTGCCGCCCGCGCTGCTGCCGCCCACGGCGCCGCTCGGCCCGCCCGTGTCTGCGATGAGAGGAGGAGAGGCAAAGGTGAGCTAGGCGCGGAGCGTATGCCATGCAGTCTCGTGGACCCACTTCGGATCCGATTCATTTACTGTACTAAGAAAATCCGTTGAATCAGTACTTTTCACTTTAAATTTTAAATAAGTGAATAATCTTGCTAATATACGTTATGCACCCATACACGCACACACATACACACACACACACACACACACACACACACACACACACACACACACACACACACACACACACACACACC